CTTAGAAATCATTTACTGATAGCACTTTTGGAGGATAAGAGTTACAGGCACCTCAAAGGAAGGAATTGACAAACACGAAAAAACCATTAGGAAAAATGGTCATATGATCCTATGTAAAGATTCTTGTTTGAATAAGTTTGATATTAAGAGCTGAGGCGACGCCTTCATGATCTTCCAAAAACTTGYCCACCATTGCAATAAAGATATAAAATTCATTGGTTATTGTGTTACTGTTAACAAACTCTTATTAGAAAACCTTTTTTTTTTATTTAGTGGCCTGGAAATCTATAATTTCAAGAGGAAAAGTTACATATCAGTTTTGAAACTCTCAGATCAGCTGGATAGAGGGAGGTTTTAACTGTTACGTAACATTGTCAATATTCCTTTGCGGAAGAAGGAAGGCGGAAAACCCGAAGAAAACTTTCGTAGCAAGGAAGATAACAACATATTAAACGAACTCAACTCACATACCTCAATAGAGAAAAATAACTTATGGCAAGGCTAAGGAAACTAGCTATTTTCCCCTCTATTTTATATGAGATGTTTAAAAAGCGCCGAGTTCATTGACAAAATTCCACGAAACCTAACCCTAGTCTATTTTTGATTTTATTGATTATGATTGGTTTTAGTGTTTATCAATTTATTCAGTGTTTTAAAGTCAACTGTCTTCAATTTATTGACAAGCTCTTTATCATCCATAACAGCTGTGTTTGTATACCATTTACATTGCGCTATTTTTAAGTCATTGCCATACGTGCAGTCTCCAGTCTTAGCTGAAATATCCACTTATGCCGAGCTTGACGATAATATTTTGTGGTTTCTAACTCTAGGACATTTCATCGAAGATTTAAGGTAAATTAAGTACATCAGATTACCGTACACATTTATACAAAATACTTACAACAATGGGTCTCCGTCGCTTTTTAGCGTCTCTTGTCGGTATGAAGTTAGCCATCATCGTTATTGGCAAATACCTATAAGAACGATGAAACCAAGTTAAAGTAAAGTTCCCCTTCACTGGTGCACCTTTTATCTCTTTTCAGATCGTAATTTCCGTAATTTCCTTAGTATTCTTTATATTTATGTAATGCTCCTTTTACTCTTAAAAGCCCGGCTCGATCGAGACGAGGTAATAAGGGTATTCAAAGCTCGATCTACCAGGGATAAAGAGAACTCGAACAGCGTTGCGCACTTACATTCCTCTCTCTCCGTTAGTGCTACGCTTAATGGGTATTCCAATTAAGACTCAAGCCACTAGGTAAAGCCAGAACTCGAAGAGCGGTGACAACTTAATTTCCTATTAAAACCTCGAGCTACTACCGAGAGTTGATACAAGAGTCTCACATGAAAGCTAATTCAACTGCGACCCTCTTMTTTGGCTGGAAGCGCCTTTACCTGCTAAGCCGCAATTTTAGGTGAAATATAAAAATATGAAAATTTTGTGAAATATGACACTAAGCTAGAGCACCCCTTACGTCAGCCCTTAATGTGATTGTGTTAAAAGCGTTATTACTCCTGCTTCTAAAAGGTTAACTATTTCATTCTAATGTCATTCGTTAWACTGTTCTTGTATATTTATAGATTACTATATTACGCAGTCCAGCTGTTTTGAGGGACCATCACAGACTTCTGATAGGCAGGAAGTG